TGAAAATTCTGTGTCAAGCTTGTAACCTGCTGCCGTGCATCAACACAGCCTCACAGAGGACACAAATGCTCTCTGGAGTTAGTCTGCTGAGGGATTAAATGCACAACTGAGTACTCTATGTTCACTATGTTCAATCAATTATGTGCAAGAGAATACATGTGAGAAAATAAAGTGTTGTCTCAGAGGGTGGGGTGCAGTTATGTTAGGCAACGCAGAACAGCTGACAGTACTGCTTTGTGCACACACACACACACACACACACAAACACATTAAGAGGCTGCACAATAAGACAACTGCTCTGTCATCGAGTGCTTACCACTTCCTCCTCCTCTTTACTCGTCTCCTCCCTCTATCCGCATATAGTATAGTACTACATGCTCTAGTTGACAGCTCATGCCGAGCCAGCACATTCCACATTATTACTACTTCAGATGTTTGTGGCCCAGAAGTGTGCCGATTGGCTCAGCTGCCGCCGACACTGGGGCTATAGAGAGCCAATGAACAGCCTGCTCTAGGGAGCAGAAGACTGACACTGTAAATTCAAAGGGAACTCCATCTGCTGGTTAATACAGAGAACGGCTTTGTCTAAATACAGACACAACTGTCTGTTAATGGAATGTAATCTAATATTCACTTCTCACGGCAGGTTACACTTGTGTTCTATTTGCTCATACTCCTATTAGCTCTGTTGTATTTGCTCTCCTTGTTGCTCTGTTACCTTCCCTCTCCCCAGCTATCTTTCTTTGCTTCTACTCCTCCAACACTTAAATACATTCTTGCTTACATTTTTCTTCCCTTATATGAATGTACACACATGCAATTTTCCTTTTTTTCCCTCCCACTCTCCACATCCATCCCTTCCTCATTTACTCATACTCATAATTTACTTAAAATACCAAGCAAATTAGGATTAATTTCAACAAATTGACACCGTGGATTTCATTAGCTACACACAAACAATGCACAACAGCTTTAGACACACGTAGACATGCAAGAAACACTGGTCGAAGCACACAGACCTACACAGCAGGCTGATTAGCCCTGTGCAGTCTAGGAGAGCATCCAAAGGCCTGGAATGAGGTTCTGTGAGGTATCTGAGGGTGGAGTGTCCCTCTATAAAAATCCCCATGAAATATCAATCTACTGAGTCAGATGGAAAGTCCAGTTGTGAAAGAGTTGTAAAAGGTGAGTCACAAATGTGTATCCGTTTGTGTGAGTGTGTGCACGTGTGTGTGTGTGTGTGCGTGTGTGCGTGTGTGTTTAGGCCTATTTAAACTTTGCTCAGTTTACTCTCAGCCAAAATCAAATGAAGCGCAAGACAGATGTAGTTAAAGTTAATACTGACCCGTAAAATATCAGATTCTTCCAGTTTCACGCACTTCTATTAACCCCACAAGGTTAATCTACTGAGGTTTAAACAGACCTAGTCTTCGCTCTCTCATTTTAGAGGCTGCGGAAGTCATGTAATGTAGTAAAGAGTTTTTAATCTGATAATACAGTCAGTCCGACCATCTATACTGTTGATCAGTCAGATTTTAGTTTTTGCACATCCACTTTATTTTATTTAAAAAAAAACTTTTGCTATGGACCTTATTCTTGTGTCCTTAATAAAAGCCATTATTGTTATTATTATTATTTAAGTAATAATCCTCCCCTGGATTTGCAGTTCATCTCAACTCTAAAGACCGTTTCAGCACCTTACAGCTCATTGTTTTGGTTAAACATACGTACCTTCAGTGCGACAGTTCTGATGAAGTAGTCCTTGTTAAAGTCGTACATTACATGTGTACTGTACTAAGTTCGAAAGCATTGTCCTCAAGTTTCTCTCTTTGTCTGTCAGCAAAGACAACTTTGGTTATGTGTTTGGATGGGTGTGTACGCGTTTGTTTGTCTTAAGTGTGTGTGTCCATGTACTGTATGCGACAGAGAGCAAACAGAGAAAGCTGAGCTGTGCAGGGCATCTCTTGTATAATAACTGAGCGCTTTAGTGAGGCTGGATGAATTTTAATGGAGTTCTGCGGGGTATTCCATCGCCTCTGGTCCCACAGCTCAAAGATCAGAGAGAATTTTCAAGCATGGTGTCCCTCAGCCTCTCATACTCCCTCTCATTCTTTCTCTCTCTCTTCCTCCCTTTTTTTTCTCCTCCACTTCTCTTCCCATTTTGAACTCCCTTTTCCAATCCTTTCCTCCCTCTTGGGCTTTTGTCTCTTAATCCCTTTCTGTGTCTCACACTTTCTGTTGGTTTCTCTCTCCACTCTGTCTCCCTGTGAAATTTGTATTAGAGCCACTCGAGGCGTAATTATTGCTAAGCCTCTCTCAGTTCCCTGGCACAGAGAACAACTCATGACTCTCAGCACAAAAACTTGCTACTGAAGGACAAAATGCTGTGATGAACTTTTAAAATCATGCACAATGGCTGACAAAATGTTTGGATAGTCTTTTCTACGCAAAGAGATTATACAACAGAAAGCTAATTTTCTCACTGCCTCAAAGCCATTTAAGGAGTTTAGTACTTTTTTTAAAACTCATATCTAAGTTCTACAAGCTCGAAATTTATGGAAGATGTTACGCATTTATAATTCAGACACTGCATTTACACATGTTCTACTATTCCTCGTTGCCATCAGGACACACATGTGGGTGTAGGTGCAAGCTCTATGATCTACTGATCCCTAAAGGCCAGAGTTTGGAAGGAATTACAAAAAAGGAAGACACGAAAGAAATGTACGGATGAACAAAGGTGGCATGACAGCAACATGGTGCACAAGCAGCTTAAGTAAAATAGCTAGTAAACAAAAAGCCTTGAATGGTGGCTGTAATTTGTGTCTTTTGGTTCGTGTGTGTGCATGTTGGAGTGAGAAAGTTGGCAAGAGACTGGTGATAATTACTAATTCATAAGGATTAATGGTTGCTATTTAAAAACCTACCATTCTGAGGAGAGCCGAATGAACGTTGTGTCTTCCTACTGGGACCGTAAGACAAAATATGCCCCTGGCTAATCTTACATGAACACGGCTCATAAAAACTCAACTCCACAGCACTTTGGCACTGGAAATTAAAAAAAAAATTATTATGCTTTTGTTTGTGTTACTTAAACAAACTGAATAACACAACGTTCTTGTCATATGAGTGACCTTATTAATTACCTCAGACCTAAAGTGGTAATACCATATAAAATAGCATGTGACAGACATTTGGCCTGCTCAGGTATGACCTTGATCTTCACAAACAGCACCAGCTTATTCTGCCATCACTGTGGTGATCAATAAAGCTCAGTCATACTGTACAAAAAGTCCCATGACTTTGTAGCATCATGACAAAACTATATGCACAATAACAACACTCTTTAAAGGCCCTGTAAACGCATTTTCTCGATCAGCTTCCTACTATGAGTGATGGGATACTATATGAAAACACAATTTTCTTGCCAGTTTTTGTCTTTTTTTTCTGACCTCTTCTCACTGGTTTGATGACACACCATTAAAGCATTGTTAGTAAGATGCATCTCTGTTCATCGAAGTAACTTACCTTGCATGACCTGTGGTCTAACGATTACTCATGCACAGAGTTTGCAGATGTCAGCAAAGACGGAGATGTCACAGAGGAAAGCAAATACTGTGTGAGGATTAAAAGAGAAATCTGTCAGCAGTATGTGTATTCAATGTGTTCACATCATTAGCTGCTCAAGATTCTTGTTTTAGATAAACCTGACAAGACAGTTAAGGACAGGAAGTGTGAAGTGATGACCAGACAGGTGGAAAGACAGGAAAGCAGGCGCTGCAGAAATATACTTTTGCAAGTCAGCATGTGTTTTTTGTCAGTTATAATAAATGTTATTTATCAGTTATGAAAACACAGGCTATGCTGTTTACCACAAGATTACCTGGACAAACACGTTTGAAAATAATGCCAGCATCCAGTAACTACCCTCTATTTCTATCTACTGTATCTGGGCCACAACATGTGTTGATCTGTGTTGTCTAATGTTGCCCCCATGTGGCAACGATTGTTGTAGCAACTCGTGCCAAAAGACTCCCAAATAAAGACCTCAGTATTTAACATCCGTATAAAATGATCTTTTTAAACATGAAACACACACTAATACACTATGAACACAGCTAACAATATACGTATTCCTACTGTAGATCTAATGATATCCTGATAGTGGACTTTGAATTACTTTTATAATGGTTCTTAATCGGACGCTGGTCTGTACTTCAGTTTAAACACAGCCAAATACTAATCCCTCTAATCCTGTATTCGTATATCACAGTAGCTCAATTACCCACATCCTCAAGCATGAGACAAAGAAAATTGATTTCTTAATGTATTCCTTAAATCCTGTCAGTTATGTTGACTTTTTCTTTTGCTGAATCAGCCTTCAACTGTGAACATGGGCCCTTCCCTTATACCTGCTTTTATGTTTTAAACGTATTCAGTACTAACAGACACTGCAGTATGATCACACTCTAAAGCTCTTAAGTCCCATGCTGCATTCAAACATTTCCTCTGTGTACAACTGCAGGCCTTTTAAGAGCTGTACAGTACGAGGCTGTTAAGATGATAATAATGATGCAGCACCCCCTTTGGACCAATCAAGGACACCAATAAGACTTTCCCTTAAGCAAGAGGACAGAAGCCATTAAATGTGAATCCAAACAAAGAAGCTTATATGGGATCTTTTATTTACAGCTACCTCCTTAGTGGTAATGCGTTTCATTTTGTAAAGGCTACATCATCAGTTAGTCGTTTATTATTATTATTCAATTTATTTTTCCTCTTTCAAATGTGAAAAGGATATTTAAGAAGCATGACAATCAGTGCTTCTTTGATGCAAAACAAAAGAATTAAAAGTCTGATGGCAGAAAATATGAGCAGTGAATGAATCACAAACATGATTTCTTTTGTTTGGACCTCATACACCGGGAAGAAAAGTTACTGTTTCCCTAACGCAGAAAGATAGCAAAACAATACTTGAAAAATATATCCATAGGCACAAAGAATGGATAGAAATAGGTCTGGCTTTATTTTCTTCAGTCGGAGTGCTTAAAAATAATCACAATGTAACACAGAAAAGAAAAGAGATAACAATAACCAAATGTTTAGAACCTAATAAAGCCCCTATGTGTAGTGATTATGTGTCAAATTACTCTGATGGTTTCTGTTGGTAGAAAAGTTATTGTAAAAATTGGTGGGGGTCTTTTCTGGTACAGTTTTTAAATCCTACATACAGAGGCTTTAATCTTTTGCAAAAATAAATAAATATATTATGACATAGCACACAAGTTAAGATTCACATCATATGCGAGAAAGTCTCGGGATATCCCAGAAACTTTGGACAGCACCCAACGTAAAACTCACAATACTTCCGAGGGTTTCCTGACAGCTTATTTGTTGATTCACTGGTTGAAAAAAATCAGCCTTACACAAAAAGTTGGATTCTTTTGATTCCAACCTAACCAGGCTCAAACCTGTATGCATGAATTTTAAAGTGCAGTTTAAGTCCTCGTTTGTTCCAGTGAAGAAATAGGCTGATGCATTGCTTTTTTCCCCAATGCTAGTTCATTTGTGACTGATTAAAAATTTGAGAAACTCAGTGCACATGGGCCTGCAGCACTTTGTCATTACCCTGCCAAGCATACGAGAGTCGGCTGCTGCAGGAGAGGCTATCTGCCCCCTCTGCGCTGGACTACAATGGTCCCTGCCACAATGTCATACACAGTCCTGTTGTGCTGGAAGAAGAGGAGAGTGATGAAGACGGGAAAGAGGAAGGCAATGGAGAAGTTCTTATTAAGTGCCCGCACTGTAGAGCTGTTAGACAAAAGAGACAAAACAACAGGTTAGACTGAGAATTTCCTACAGGTGCTAGAGAATAGTAGAGACATTGGTTTGTGATTTAGACACAACAATACAATCAAACTTGGATATTTTACAATATATGAAGTAGAGTGGCTTCCACGCACAACACAATGACCTAAACACAGCTTATGTCGTATATCATTGAAATTAATACTTCCCAATACTTCTTCTTCCCAATCAAAAAGTAACTTAATCCTGTGTGTGATCACTCACGCAGAGAGGGAAACATTAGATGCTGGCACTACAAGGACCCGGTTGGGTCGGACCAGAGTCGATGTGTCACATGTTACCACCCGCAGGCCAAACAGGAACTTCCCTGGTGTGGCACCACCAGCACCCCAAATACAGATTGTCTGATTGGACAAGATAGACAAAAATGTACACAGTTTATCAGTGAATGTCAACGTGAGATGCACATTGTTAATAACCCCGTGGACCCATTACCATGCTAACAAAATGCCCTGTACGACAGTTCAGGGCAGAACTTGTTAATGATACCACGCTGTCACATGTAGGAGTAGAAAGGCAAGAAATTAATTCTCAGGTTTACACAAACAAGGCAGTAAGTTTTAGAAGGAAGGAAACATGCCAGATGGCATTAGTCTGAGCGCAGGAGCCTGAATGTCCCAGTGCTGCTTCCCACCTGGGAAAACAAGCCACTGATGCACAAGTCGAACAAGAGACATGTTACATGACTTCATCTCAGGCAACTATGAATGCAACGTTGCATCACTGTCCTCTGTGGGAAATACTGTTGTGGTATAGGACAACTGTGACTCTTCTCATTAGATAAGAGCATGTGGCAATGACGTACTGAATGCGAAAGGACAAAATTGGGTATTTTGTTAAAACTATAAATACACTTGTGTGGGAAAAGGTCCTTCTGTTCAGCTGGGGGGAAAAAAACCTGTATACAGCATTACATTAAGAAAACACTGGTTTTAAATACTCAAGTAAAAGTAACAATACAGAGTTACTCCAATGTTTTCAGCACTAACATCCCCTCCCTTTAGACTAGACATTCAACGTTGTGTACGGTGAAAATATGACTCACCTCATAGACGCACACTAGCACCCTGTAGACCAAAGCTACAGCCATCATCTTCTGTAGGTCTTCCATGGACGTGTTCTCATCTATCTCCTCCACAATGAAATGGGTAATAAACTTGGCAATGTCCCTTTAGAGAGGAGAGAAAGTACGCATGTGTGAGGACAGATGTGGGGAATGTTGAAATCGCTTGGCATTAAAGCAGTGATGCAAATCCTGTAAGTGTACCACAGCTTCACGGCTGCCTGGTTAGCCGAATAAAACTATTATAGGAACAGAGTGGTTTTGGAATGGTTCATCTAAAAAAGCATAATGGCCTCAGTTTTATGTCTTTAACTGTTGTCTTTTTATTTGAAACTGTATTCCCATAACCCAGTTTAATGGTTTCACTCACTTCATACCACTCAGATGCATGATCCAGAGCACGATGGTGGCCTTCACACAGAACAGGATGAAGAAGTCCACTGTCTCAGCCAGGAACCTCTGGAGAGGCGAAGGGATGGTGTACTCCCGTCCTGTATGAAGAAGATGAAAAGACAAGTGTACAATTCAATTTCACACATTTCTACACTACCCTGTCTCATTTATACACTCACATATATCACCTTGAATCCCTGACTAGCTGTAGGTCTGCAGAAACCTACCAGAGGTCAACATAGCACTGAGAGAGACCACTAAGCATATAAGCCTGTTTCCACAGGGCCATTTACTTAAGCCAGCTTCCCACCAGACTCATGACCTAGCTTATACAGAATAACCCACACACATTCATTATGAAGGCATTTTGGATGAGAGATAGGCCCCTGACTGACTACTACAGCAGCTCGCTCACTGTCAACCTGAGCCATACCTGCCTGAGGTGGATTCCCATTCTGCTGCGGGGCTTGCCGGGCATCAGTAGCTGGGGTCGGGGTCGCGGCTGAGCTCTGCTCGGTCTGGGCACCACCCGGATAAGGGAAGGATGCTGGGAAAGTGAGGGGATAAGGGTAGCTGTACCAGTTCCCCGTGTCAAAAGCCTGCTGCCCGCCGCCCGAAGTCGAGGCAGGTGTACCCGATGTCTGGGCGCTTGTCCCCGGCGAAGGGAACCCGCACGGCGGAGGGAAGGCTGATAGAGCCAGCCAGCTCTGCCAGTTGGCATACCCCCAGTAATACTGCCACATCCACTGCTGCAACTTTGCGCAGTATTCCGTTGTTGCGGTGGTCTGAGACGGTTTTGCGTCACTTTCAGGGCTGTCACGGCGGTTGTCACTCGTCGTAGTCGCAAACATGTTTGACCCACTTGACAGTTTTCGTCTAATTTGACGAGAAAATCTTATTTAAACGTCGGTAATGTTTCCTTTGCTGCGTTCATTAGCACTCAGCAGGTTACAGCGCTAGCTAAGCTAAGTGTGTTTGTAAATACAGGGATTTCCGGGACCTCTCGACGTTAAACATTACTTTACAGATGGGTGTCATTGTATAATATTTCGGTAATTGAAAATCAAACAATTATATGTGATTTATAATTACAGTGCCTCCCTTATATGTGCATCATATATCAGCGAAATACCATAATGTTGTGGAAACGGCTAATAACGGTCACCCGTGTGTCATTAATGGTATGAGCCATTTAAAGGAGCATCCTGTGTATTTTTCTAACGTTCATAACGGCTCCTTCAGCAACAAAACTCACTTTCTCATAGTCACTTGTAGTAACAAAGACTATTTACTGCCCCATTGGTCAAATAAATAAAACACTTATATATTTAACTTTAAAAAAAGAAGAAGAAAAGTTTGCATTTAAGCTTTTATATGTACACGTCCACTCATTTAACTGAGCATGTCTCTTGTCATATAATTTAATACCTTATATCACCTTGAAATGTTTTAGTTTGGCCTACATTTCTGTGACCTGTATAATTAAAGAACAGAAATGTCAGCTGTCAGGAATTGAACAGGTTCAGCAGGTTGAAAAGAGTGAAAAGAGTAATATGGAAAGCTCATATTTACCTTGAATAAATAAACTTAAGTCCCTATTATCACTAAATTCCACCAGTAGGGATGTTGATAAGAGTGTTGTAACGTTATATGTTAAATATGTGCCAAACTGAAGGAAGTTCAACACAAGGTTAGTTAATAACTAACTAGGAACTAAATAACTTCCTTTTCTAAGTAAATCACTCTGAAATGTATATACTAAAATTTCTATGACAACTAAAACATAATATGCTGCAACTTAAAGGTAAATATCCTTTCTCTGAGTCCTAACGCAAAAAAATAACATTTCAGTTACACCACAAGAGAGCAGCAGAGGCCAGCTGATACAAAATAATAACACATCAAATGCAACCATCAGAATAATCTCTATATAGATATTTATACAATGATATTGGCTCAGGCCCTAAGCAAAGTGAAAACATTTGAATTTTTTCATTGTATATTGTTTATCTTTGGTACCTCATTTATTTTTATGAAAATGGTGGGAGTTTTCGGCCTGCAGACGCATTCAGGACACCCAAACATCTGAGTTCATTGACAAATCAGTAGTCTGCCATAGAGGCCATCGGGATCAAAAACCCCAAAAACTCTGGAAAAGCTGCTGCAGAAACAGCTTTGATTCAAAAGACTTGCTGCTGATCAGCTGATGAAACCTATGTTTTGCTCTCTCTCTCTCTCACACTCTCTCTTTCTCTTTGTCCCCCTCTTTCCATTTGACCCTAATATGCAGGAGTTGCTCACTCACTTCTCCCACCCTCTCCTCCGTCCCACCTATGCTCTTTCTTCTGCTCTGTCTCTTTCTTTGTCTCACCCTTTCTCTCATTTTACTCCCCCTCTACTCTGATTACTAAAGGGGAGATGAGGTGGGGGGGTGGGTT